CTCGTCCATGGACTTGCTAAGCTCGATGGGGAGCTGGCGCAGCACGGAGGACTACCGGGCGCCGGGGGTCGCGCCGATGGCCACGGACACCTTCTGCACGGCGGGCTTGGCGACCGGGCTGGCTGTGCGGGGCTGGTCCAGGGACGAGCTCGCGGACAGGGGCGCCCGGCTGCTCGGCCGCCGCCCGCGCAGGAGGAAGCCGGGCGAGCATCGCTCCACCGCCTCTTGGGCCACCCAGGCGCGGATTAAGGTCCGGCTGACAGGGGGGCGATGCACTGTCAGTTGCCTACATACAGGGTTTTTGTGGCACAAATTGCCTACCTTTCAGGCGGCTCTCTAGAGTGACAGTGACTGGCGCGGATAAAGGGGGAAAGAGGGGGAGGGGCAAATCGCCCCAGCCTCCCTGAAGGTAGGCGTTTTGTGCTTACAAACCCCCTCTATGTTGGCAACCCACGGGCCGAACCTTACACAGGTTGTGCTCGGCCCGGTATGGTATGATTCGGAGAGGGGCGAGGAAGGGCAGGATGGACGAACGCTTACCCTGCCGACGTCAAAGTCCTGGACCACGTCCTTGGAGGGGCAGGCGCCCCAGCCGAAGTCGATGGCCTCGGCCTGGAGGAGGACGGCGGCGAGCACCACGAGGAGGGCGGGCAGGCCGCGCGAGCAGCGCGCCTTGGGGGCCATGATGAAGTGCTCCTTGAACGGGAGGGGGGAATCATTCCCTTAAGCAAGGATTGGCAGCACACCACAAGAGAGTATGCACCTCCGCGATGAGGAGTTCGGACACTGACGCCGAGCACCTTGGCAATGACCATGACCACTACACCCGCCCGAACATGGCGCAAGAAGACCGAACTTTGCCCTAACGTTGCCCCAACTTTGTCCTGACTTTGTCATGCCGCGCAGTACGCGGCTACACTTCGGGCCTCTCGCGGCGGAGTACGGACTTAGCCTATTGACATTATTCGCGGCGGCGACAAAACTGACAGAACCAAGGTGGACAGTTAGCCAACGACGAGAGGATCGAACCACACCCGACTTAGCCAGAGATGGATTTCATTCATGTCGATGCGATATCGTGTCGTCGTTTCTGGTCTCGTTTCCGATGTCGGAGCGACACTTCACGATTTTCTTTCAAAATGTCATTTCTCACTGGGGAAGGGGCAACGCGGCACTCACGTCGGCGGTAGAAGTATTCTCATCGACGTGCGCGATATCCGTGTGTTCCTTTTATAAAGAAATTAAGTATATTCAAGAGTCGATTTTGCACGGGGGCCCAACTCACACAGTGACGGTGACTCGACGTTCTGGGAGCGATGTGTGTCCCGCCACTTTGTCTGCTAGACTGGCCCGGGCCGGCCGGCCGGCGGACGCATCCCAGGAGGAGGGGAAGGAGGAGGAGGAGGAGGAGAAGGAGGAGGGGGGGTAGATAAGCACTGGCAGTGTTTGGGCTCGTGTGTCGAGCCTCTGACGTAACGCTCTCTGTGCGGCAGGTATACACTGTGTGAGTGTGCGTGTGTGTGTGTGCGCGCGCTAACGCCTACAGTGGACTGAAACAATTTGGATTGGCCAGATAAGTAGTTCACACAGAAAGGATTTTACCCTGGCGGGCGCGCGGCGTCCTGGCAGCGTATCTATGTGGCGAAGAAGTGCTGGCGTTGGCAGAGAGAGGCGCCTGTCAGCCGCGGCGCGAGGATACGCTGCGAGTGCGCTTTACTGACAAAACAATGCTTGCTATTTTAGGTCGAGTGGCACTTAAAACTGGTTTCGTAACTGACGCCCTTGCCCCCTGCCTGTCTGCACCATGACCATGAGACGCACTAGTCTCGACGACTCCTAAGTAGTTATAGAGACCACTGCAATTAGCTATCACTCGAACAATGACGCAGTATTCTTGTATTTTGTTGCGAGATCTTGAGTATTTCAGTACACTCCTTTTGCTAGCACCAATGAAAACGCTGTAGCCTACGAGCATGACAAAACTTTTGGCATTCCCTCTTCAATCATGCTATTCGCGCTCGTTTGCGTTCCATTCAAGAATTTTACGTTTTGATTTCCCCCAACGCCAAAGTTTTGGTACACAGCGGCCCAAAAGAAAAAAAATAGCTACTCGAGAGTAAGACTAACGTTTGGCATTCATTACAGGATGCCAAAATTTTGGCGTACGTTTTTAAGCAAGGGCGAGCAACATTATTCAAAAATGTTTTTCTTAAAAAAAAATCGCGGTAGAGTAATTGGGACCGACCGTGCGACCCGCGACACTCCGATAGGCATTGGCGGACACCTGGACTCCCCAAGGGGACGCAAGGCCAATGTCAATGCCACAGGCCCCCGATATGGCCGTGGCACCCACGCCTCCTCCGCGCTGTCCGACCGTCTAGCCTACCCCATTAGAGAGGCACCGGGAGCCTCTCACTAAACTGCCGAGCTCGCCGATGAGTCGATTGAGGTTCACCCGCCGTACTCGATTTGCAAACGGGGCGCGCGCTCAAAATCACTTATCAAAATCCGTCCCGTCCCGCGGACCCGCCGCGCCGCCGCCGAGCACGCGGCCCGACTACGTGATGAGAGTAGCTGGCAAAACCACGTATCGAAATGTATATAAATGTGTGGCTATCAGTCTTTAAACAAGTTACGTTTCAATGGTTTGTTATTTTTCGTTCGCAATCATCCGGTTATGGTGACATAATGGTCGCGCACCTGCCGCCGCGCCTGCCGCCGCACCTGCCCGACCCGGCCGCGCCGCAGGATCTCCGATGGCCTTATCGCCAGCTTATCGCGCCGCCGCCGAAAGCCGAAAGCACCACGGCGATAAAGCCGCGAGGACTGCTTCCGCATTCTCACCGCAATCAAATCTCGCGCGAACTGTGTCGCGTTACCACGACGACCTGCACTTATTGCGATACCGTTTAACCAACCCTCTCGACGACTTTTTGGTGCGGCCCTTGGGGGGCAGCGAGAGGTTGCAGTGCATGAGAAACCATCCACCTGATTCGTTTTGATGTTCCACTCTGCTATCGTATTACCTTTTCAGCCCTATATCTCCATATTTTGCCAATCGTTTTTATGAAAGTTATCCTAACTCTGAAACGACAACGACTTGAGGTAGAGCATCTCCAGGGAGTAGACTGGGTTCGGAATGTGCGATTTTCATTTGTGTGTGTGAAAGGGGGGGGGGGGTTGCCCCCTGTACCATTTGCTATTGATAATAAATCACTTTAATATCACTATATTTGGTGCAATATTGTGCCGCACTGTGCCGCGGTTTCAAATTGGGATACTTTTCACCAAAATGGCTATTTTTGGGACTTTAAACTGTTGTCAAATCCCCAGTTTTGATTCGATCGCGCCCGGACAAAGTGACAGTTAGTCACCAGGACCAAGGGCATGAAGTACTGAAAGTGGCGCCAATTTCTGCCGCCTCAACTTAAGTTGTTTAAATGTAACAGAGGGACGGAATTCGCTGTGCCTCCCCGTTTGCCAACATGCAGGCAGTTTTTCGGTGCAATCAGGCGTCGTTATAAAATATGAAAAGGTGCCGTATCTTCCCCACACTCCAACCCCCTCCCCGACCCCTCACGGTTGCCATCCCCCCCCTCTCTCTCTCTCTGGATACGTGCTTCTGAACACTGATCACTGCTTAACACTTGTAAGTGTGCAACTGCACTGCAAACAATTATGACAGGTAAAATGACAGCATCGACCGCCAGCAACGTCTGTTTATTCAAATAACAGGATTGCTGTAGTTTTAAAGGTTAATATTTCGTACGGAGAGCAATGCACAGAACCACTGCACCTAGAGAAATGATCAGCAATGGCAATGGCAACCATCTTATGGTTGGCTCAGGGAACACCATGCATAAAATATGGTTGAGACAACAAAAACAACGTTACGGAAACCATATTTTTGTTTCTCACAGCAATGATAATGTTGTATCAATCATATTGCATGGTGCTCCCTGAATTAACCATACGATGGTCGCTACAGCTAAGCATTTTTCTGGGTGTGTACAGGCAAAACTGGACAAAACTGTCTACAATGGAGCCGTATTCGTACACGGTACCGTGTAAAATCTGGGCTTTCCTGTGCTGCAGCGAAACTATACTACGCGCTCTATACCCTAGGTGCACTGACTAAGAGAGGTATCTACAGCAATGCCGTAGATCGTTCCGTATTAGACACTATTTTTTACAGTATGCAAGTTAAATACTTGCAAGTGTGCAACTCCCTATTTAATCACTTCCTACACAGTGTGCGTGCAATCTAAGGAAGTGCTCAACTGAGGAGTTGCACACTTGCAGCTGCACAACTACAGAATTGCACAGTTGCACACTTGCAAGTATGAAACTTGCAGTTGCACACTTGTATTGAACATAAATTAGCACACTTACAAGTGTTCAGCAGTTGAACACTTAGTTCTTGTCAGTGACATCCAGCTCCAGAGTCGCCTTTAGTGGGTGCGACAGACGTCAGGCTTCGCATGGACCATTGGCCTGCGATTGCCGGGTGGCTGCGGTCAGACGGTTGGGGAAGGGGGGGTTCCAGGACTTGGGCTCGAGGACGAGTCGACGTCGACGACGACTGTGACAGCGCCCGAGTGTCAGCGAGCGTGGCGGGACGAGGCGGGGCCGAGCGTTCCACCACGGTGGCGGGCCGACGACGTCCGCGAACATCCCAGCTCGCTCCCGCTAGAGACGGATTGGATAATGGGGGACACGCTAAAAAAGGAGGAAGTTTTTTCCCGACAAACATAAGACGAGCTTCGATCCAGCACGCAACTGCCTGCGCCATCAAACCACACTCGTAGACGTCCCTATTTGTGGCCACAAAATTGTGGCCACAAACCCGGCGGCCAGAGTCAGCTTAATCCGACCCGCCTATAGAACACCCCATTTCGGGTA